CAAAATTATTAATTGTCCTCAGGGTTTTGAAAGATTTTGGCATTTGCTTCTTTTCGGCCTTCCGACGGCTCAAAACGGCCCAAGAGGCCCCCCAGATCGCCTCAAGATCGCCCAAGAGCCTCCGAGATGGCCCCATGACGACCCAAGAGGCCCCCCCAAGAGGCGCCCAAGAGGCCCAAGATGCATCGAAGAGGTTCCCAAGAGGCGCCCAAGACAGCCCAAGAGGCCTCCAAGAGGTCGTCCAGGAGGGCCCGATGAGACCAGTATCATGTTTTTTCCTTAGGGTTTTGAAGGATTTGGGCATTTGCTTCTTCTTGGCAGTCCGACGGCTCAAGACGGCCCACGAGGCCCCCAATATCACCCCACGATCGCCCACGAGGCCTCCAAGATGGCCCCATGATTGCCTAAAAACCCCCCTAAGACCGAACCAGGAGGGCCCCAAGACGGCCCAAGAGGCGTCCAAAACGCCCAATATGGCCTCGAAGACGGCCCTGAAATGCCCCAAGAGGGTCCCACGACGACCCAGAAAGGCCCCCATGACGGCTTCCGACGGCGTCAGACAAGCCAGGAACGCCCTAGGACGGTCAAAGAGGCCCCCGAGAAGTCCCAAAAAGGCCCCAAGAGGACCTCAAGAGGCTCCGAGAGAGCCCAAGATAGCCTCCAAGACGGTCCCAAGATGGCCCAATCGAGCCCAAGAGTGCCTCAAGAGGCTCCGAAGAGGCATCCTCTCCCTTCTTCTTGTTCTTCCTTCTCATCCTCTTCCTCTTCTTCCCCCACGTGTTCCTCGACGGCTTCCCAAACCGACTCGGGGAAGATAGCGTCGCCCCCCAAGATGCGTCCAAGACGACCCCATGATGGCCCAAGAGGCCCACAAAACGGCCTCAAGAGGGCCCTAACAGCGACGGAGAGATCATACATGACCTCAGCGTCCACGAAAGATCCCTCCAAGACGGACAAGATGGCCTCCAAGACGGTCCCAGGACGCCTCCAAGACGGCCAACGTGGCCGAAGATGGCCTCCAAGATGCGTCCAAGATGATCAAGATAGCCCCAATGTAGCCCCAAAATGGCTTCCAAGACAGTCCCAAGATGCCTTCAAGACCACAAAGATGGCCCGATAAAACCCTAGAGTAGCCCAAGAGGCTCCCAAGAGGCCTCCTCCTCCCATCTCCTTCTTCCTCCTGTTCCTTCCCTTCCCCCTCCCCCACCGTGTTCCCCGAACGCTTTCCAAACGAATTCGAGGAACACATGGTCCGATACCTTGGCAGGCCTCTGGCCACAACGTTCGGCCACATAGGCGCTTCCGAAAGGGCAGGGGGCGGCAGTGATTCGCAGTAGGCGTGTTCGATCCGCCGCCCCCTGTCGGCTTGCCATGGGGGTGCCCAGCGTGCTGAAACCTTTCGCTTTTGGTTTTGGTTCCTTTCCAAAAGAATCGAAGACGCCTACGGCGAATCACCGCCGCCCCCTGCCTTTTTGGAAGCGCCTATGTGGCCGAACGTTGAGGCCAGACCTGCCAAGCTATCGGACCACGTGTTCCCCGAATCGGTTTGGAAAGCCTTCGGGGAACACGTGGGCATCTTGAAGGTCATCTTGGCCGTCTTGGAGGCCTCTTGGGCAAGCTTTGGGCGATCTTTGGGGCTTTTTGGGCCGTCTCGGGCCAGCTTCGAGCCAACTTCGGCCATCTTGGTGGGTTCCTGGCACGTCTGAAGCCGTCGGAAGCCGTTTGGGGGGCCTCTATGGGCCGACTTGGGGCCCGCTTGGAATGCTCCAGGGCCGTCTTGGAGGCCATCTTGGGCGTCTTGGAGGCCATCTTGGGCGTGTTGGAGGCCTCCTGGGTCTTGGGGCCAGGGGCCATCTTGGGCCTTGGGCCATCAGCCTCTTGGGCGATCTTGGGGGTTCTTTTAGAAAAAAGAACCAAAACCTTGGAGGAGGCCGTCTTGGAATCTCGGGCGGACTTGGAGGCCATCTTGGGCCATCTTCGCATGTCCCGAGCGAAACGGCCGCATTGACAGACCGCGCGGGTGGCCGGCGGGACGGGCCGAAGCCCACTGGGGAGTTCTTTTAGAAAAAGAACCAAAACCAAAACCTGAATCATCCAGCACGCCGTGCACCCCTGCAAACAGGGGGCGGCGGATTTGGTTTTGGTTCCTTTCCAAAAGAATTCCCCTGGGGCTTCGGCCCGTCCCGCCGGCCACCCGAAAGGCTCCCAAAAGGTGGTTGCAAAGGCTTTTCCTGCTCCAGCCAGCTCCAAGATGGCCCAAGCTGGCCTCCAAGATGCCTCCAAGATGGCCAAGATGGCCTCCAAGACGGCCTGAGAGGGTCCAAGATACTTCCAGATACGCCCAAGAAGCCTCCAAGACTGCCCAAGACCGCCCAAGAGGTGTCCAAGAGGCCTTCAAGACGGCCCAAGAGGCCTCCAAGAGGTCTCTTGGGCCGCCTGTGGCCCCGAAGACGCCGAAGATGGCCTCCAAGACGGCTAAAATAGCCTCCAAGATGCCTCCAAGACGGCCAAGAAGGCCTCCAAGACAGCGAAGATGGCCCCAAGATGCACCCAATACGGCCACAGATGGCCTCAAGATGGCCTTAGACTGCCCAAAAGGCCCGCAAGAGGCCTTCAAGACGGCCCAAAAGCCCTCCGAGACGTCCTCCGGGAAGGCCCGAAAGGGTCAAAATGGCCACCGGACGGCTAAGATTACCTTCAAGATGCCTCGAAGACGGCCAAGATGGCCTCCAAGACCGCCAAGATGGCCCAAATGAGCCCCAGAGTGCCTCAAGAGGCTCCCAAGAGGACTCTTCCTCCCTTCCCCTTTTTCCTCGCTCTCCTCCTCTTCCCCGACCTCCTCCACGTGTTCCCCGAAAGCTTTCCAAACCGATTCGGAGAACACTCATTCCGAAAGGTTGGCAAGGATCTGACCCAACCTTCGGTCAGCAGGCCCCAAAACGTCTCCAAAAGCTCACAAGCGCCCCCAAGGGGCCCCGAACACGCCCATTCCTCAGTCTCCTCCTCTTCCCCGTCCTCCCCCACGTGTTCCCCGAAGCCTTTCCAAACCGACTCGGGGAACACATGGTCCGATACCTTGGCAGGCCTCTGGCCACAACGTTCGGCCAAATAGGGGCTTCCGAGAAGGGCAGGGGGCGGCGGCGGTGACTCGCCGTAGGCGTCTTCGATAACGGAAAAATTTCAATATGCGCTGACGATTCCTATCCGCCCCCGCATGCTGTTTCCAGATGGGCCGAGGCAGCGCCGAGACGCACCGACGCGACTTTGTTATATCATATTCTGATAGAGAAGGGGCCGGCGGCAGGGGGCGAAGCCCATACGGATAGAATGCGACGTTCTTCCCTGCTCCCTCCTCCTCCACCTCCACCTCCACCTCCTCCTCCTCCTCCTCCTCCTCCTCCTCCTCCTCCCCCTCCTCCTCCTTCATCACCCTTCCCCTGTCGTGCGGGTCGGCAGTACAGCGCACGTGCTCATCTCAGCGTGCACCGCATAATGGTCTAGTTAATCAATCCACTTGGTTCTCGGAAGGCCAATTTTGCTGGAGCCTCCTGGACGCAGGTGGGAGGAGTTAGGATGATGAGGGCGGGTTCGGCAGGACTCGTAGATTCCAGCGGCGCTCCTTTTTCCAGAAGGATTCGTTTCCAAATCCTATATAAAACAATTGTTTGCTGTGGGTTCCACCGGCAATCCGTTTTGTCGGAAAGGGCTCCTTCTAAAAGTCTATGGGCAACAGTGGTGCTCTGTTGCACACGGTTGCTGTGGTGCACACAGGCGCCGTGGTGTACACAGGCGCTGTAGTGCAAGCAGGCATTGTGGTGTACAGTGGTGCTGTGTTGCACACGGCTGATCATGTGTACGCAGGCGCTGTGGTGTACACAAGCGCTGTGGTGCCCGCAGGCACTGTGGCACACACTGGCGCTGTGTTGCACGCGGCTGCTCTGGTGTACGTCAGCGGTGTGTGGTGTAGAAAGGTTCTGTGGTGCACGCAGGCACTGTGGTGTACAGAGGCGCTGTGGTGCAGATCGCCACCTACATGCTGCTGCTACCCGTCCTCGGCCATTCCCAAGCATTCCCAAACACCGCCGGCGCGAAACGTGACGTCATCGGCCCCCTTTACCCCCCGCCGATGATTGCCGTCATCGGCCCAGAAAAAAAAACAAAAAACAAAAAAAACAGGTTCCAGCCGCGTCCCCGCGACGCCGACGCCGACGCCGACGCCGACGCCAACGCCAACGACGACGACAATGACAACGACGACGACGACGACGACGACGACGACGACGACGACGACGACGACGACGACGACGACGACGACGACGACGACTGCGGACGAGACTCGGATTCCTAAGCGGACGCCCATGCTGATCCCGATGCGCACTGCGGCAGTGCCTGGAGCGCACTGGGGGGGGGGACCGTTACGTCATAGGGGGGGGGCGGGGGCCATGACGTCCGTCATGCCCCAGCACTAAAGAAACACGCTCTTAGCACAAGGACCGTGGAGCTCAAATTCTAGTCGATGTTCTCAACAGGACTGCCAGTTGAGAAGGGAACGACCGTCCCAGCATTCCTGCAGGCCAGCCTACCAAGACATGTTCTCAGAACAACATAGCGCTGCAATAACGGAACAATGTTCTTAGAACGCAAAGCCGATGTGTGACAGCAACACAATAACAACGAGAAATGTTCTTATAACATTTCCTACGAGCCACATCAAGGTTCTCAGAACGTTGTTTGGTTGGCCCTTAGGCAAGCCAGGACGATTCGCCACTGCTTAAGCCAGGTCTACGAGTCTGGAGGCACGCTTCGGCACTGTGGAAGGTCAGGGCCAGCAGGGCCTGGAGCAGCGACGACGAGGTGCACGAGGGCACCGGCGCGCGCGTGCAATTTCCGGAAGAGCAGGCACGGCAGATCGCACGCATCAACGCCCGGAGGTCCGGAAGCCCCATGCCGATGCAGCTGCGTGCTCCCTCCTCGGATTTTGCCCTTCCCCGCGAGGGCGCCCTCGCCCTGTCCGCTCGGCACAGAGGCCAGCTGCTGGAAGGACTCCCTGAGCAGCAGCACGGCGGCGGCCGCGGGCTCCTGCGCTCCGCCGTCGGCGGCGCCGCCCGCCATGGCGGCGGCGGCGGCGGGACGCTTCCGCGCGCCCCGAAGGCTGCCGCGAGCGCC